GGCAAACAAACAAACAATAGGAAAAAAATAGTCAATGAAACTTTGATTTGTAAAAGTGTTGGAAGAAATGTCCTTTTAATACCTGTGAACCGGTTGGTCGGCGAACCCGGAAGTAAGTAACTTCCGGGAACGGCGAAGGGCCCACCTGCGCGCCCGCGCCCACTCCTTACCCAGTTTTGACGAGTTCTGCGCTTCCACGCATGCGCAGGACGCATACAGCGCCTGCGCAATCCTCCAGGAGCAGCTGGAGCATCGCACAGACGCTAGTATGCATGCGTGCGCCGCGCGCGTGCACGCACGCGCCGCACTCATGCACGAGGATGCCGCCGGCCTCGTTCCAACCGAACCGGTTGGAACGGGGCAAGAAACCCACCCCTGAAGCATGCATAAGTAGATAATTCTATAGACTTATCTATAATTATTGCAATAACTTGACAAGTATTCTGCAGATATCTCCACTTTGCAAGTAGGAGTCAAAGAGTTTTTCCCTTGCCTAAACTATTTCTAAGGCACTTGTAGCAGAGCGCAAGACTTTACGCTCTATTTTTACAAGCAATCATTGAGTGCAGAAATTCTGCCTTTCATATCGGGGTAGAAGACCCGGGAATATCGCTTCACGAGGAAAAGCCTTTATGATGGATGACATCAGCTGATTTCACAATGGTTTGCTTAGCCATCCTCCCAAATCAGTTGACATGTCAAAGCAGGCAGAAGGATGGGAAAATGCCATTTCCTGCCTTTTCTGCCTTTTCATTTGTCTGCCTTTCCTGTTTACGGGACGCCGTGACAGCTGGCAGCGGCCTGATAAATCTTCCATGGGTGCACCAGCGCACAGACTTCGGTTATTCTGTCCTTCTCTCCTTAGACTTTGTGGAGACAGATTCTAGGCTGAAACGATGATAGCCAAACACTGCCAAAGGGAAGGGAGTGGCGAGGAGCAGAGCCATGGATTAGGCTAATTAAATTAACCCTAGCCAACCGTATTATGCAAACCAGCTGTAGGCCTTAGTCTAATATCCATTTACCCAGTTTGGGGTGTTTCAAACCACCTTCTTTCCATTCAATTCAAACATGCACTTCCTCAGAGTTGTACGGATGGAGGAGTGCAAAATGCTTTTGCAAGTATAAAGCACAAGCAGGATGTTCCGTAGAACTCTCCCCTCCTTACCCTACCATCCCTGGGATACTCTTTTAAAATTGCATTTTTAAAAATACGTTTTGTTTCTTACAATGAGGAGGATGGGGAGAGGAGAGGAAGGGTGGGGGTAGAGTAGAAGGAAGGAGGGAGGGTTGGGGGTTTAACATAGACTTAAAACCTGAAATATTCCTGTTGGGGATTTTACCAGAAACTTATAATAAAGAAAATGTATATTTGATTATTCATCTTATAACAGCAGCTAGGATGGTATTTGCACAAAATTGGAAAAGCCTACAGAGGAGAATGCGATTAGGAAAATATTAGAATGTGCAGAAATGAACAGATTAACACTGGCAATTAAAGAGCAAGAACAAACTGATTATTACAGTATATGAGAAGCATTTTATCGATGGTTAAAGAATAAACATAAAAATTAGAAGTAAAATTAGCTATGTTAAAATGCATTAATTAGAGTTAACATAACTAATAGAGTTAAATAAATTAAGAAGAGGATTGTTATAATATCAAACATGCAAGATATCGGCATTAAGTTGGAATAAATAAATAATGAATATGATTGTAAAACTTAACTGTTGTTGCACAAAATATTTGTATCCAGATGACACACTGTTTAATGTACTGTTTGTATCAAGATAAAATAAAAACTTTTTTTAAAAAAGGAGGGAAGGAGGGAGGGAGGGAGGATAACCAGAAGTCTTACAATTCCTACCCATCTCAGCCTATAAGGCCATCATCAGGATATTGTGGGAGGTTTACTCCAAAATATTGGGTGAACACTAAAACAAAAGTAAAGGTAATCCTCAGCTTATGATCATAATTGAGACCAGACTTTCTGTTACAAAGCAAAGTGAGTTGTGCCTGATTTTATGTCGTTTTTCGTAAAACGAATCACTGTAGTTGTGAAGTTTTAAAAAGTGACGCATGCCCATTTTTTACCCTTACAACCATTGCAGCATCTCCATGGTCACATGATCAAAATTCAGATGCTTGGTAACTGGTTCATATTTATGACAGTTGGAATGCCCTGGGATTGTGCGATCCCCTTTTGCAACCTTCTTACAAGCAAAGTCAATGGGGAAGCCAGATGCACGTAGCTGTGTTACTAACTTAACAACCACAGCGATTCAGTTAACAACTGAGGCAAGAAAGGTCATTAAAAAGGGGCAAAATTCACTTAACAAATGTTTTGCTTAGCATCATTGAGTTTTGGACTCAGTTGTGATTATATGTCAAGGACTACCTGCATTAATAACCAATATCTCAGAAAGGATGCAAATTTTAATGGATAAACCTTTAGAAGACAATGAGAATTTTTTTAAAAAATTGTATCTGACATGAGAATTTGAAGATAACAAAGATAGGAATTCAAAGGACAATTCAAAAAAAGCTTCTGGACATGGAACAACTAAGACAAACAATCCTAGACAATGTCTCTTCAAGGGATTTAAGGCTGTTGAAAGCTTTGACGGATCTTTTAAATGCCAAAGAATCAAGAAAGTTCAAATCCTGCAATGTCATTGGAATGATTTAATTGGCTAGTACAAAAAAGAAGGAATATAAAGTTGGACTATTTGACCAAGGAGAAACTATTTATTTGATATTTCTGGTGATTCCTAATTTTTTTTTTTTTTTGGCCGAACCAGAATAGAATAGTTGACAGTTTCTGGATTGAGTATAGATAAAAGTGACAAAATATAAATATATTTTTTAATTTGTAAGTTTAAAAGAGGATGAAAAGCTATTATATTAGTTTATGCTTGGTTTGATGAAGCGTAGAAGCCACTTCTTTACTATTGTATTTGTTGTCTTTTTCTTTTATCTTCCACTTTATTCTTTTTCTTCTTTTTCTGCCTCTTTTGAACTTTTCTTTTTTCTTCTCGTTCATTTTTTAATTAGTTTTTACAGGTAGTCCCCTATCTATGATTGTAATGGAGTTTACCCATTAGGGTCATAAGCTGTGTTGGTGGCAAAATCACAGGAAGGACTTGAATTTTATAATGGTCATTAAGTGAATCACCGTGGTTGTTAAGTGAATCCACAGTTAAGTGAACGTTGTGGCTGTTAAGCAAATTCACTTGCTGTAATGGGCATTCCAGGTTGACTCAGCCTTCCATCCTTCTGAGGTGGGTAAAATGAGGACCCAGATTGTTGGGGGAAGTAGGCTGACTCTGTAAACCACTTAGAGAGGGCTGTAAAGCACTGTGAAGCGCTATATAAGTCTAAGTGCTATTGCTATTTTTTTGCTGGAAACCAGAAGTAAATACCAGTTTCTAGTAAACAAACAAACAAACATTCTAACTTGGCTAACAGGACCATGGGACATTGCAAAGCGCTGTAAATGAGGCCAGTTGCTGAGTGCCCCAAACATGATCGTGTGACCATGGGCGATGGGTGGCCATCAGAACTTTGAATCTGGGTCATAAGTAGTTTTTTGAGGGTGTGTCATAACTTCATACAGTCACTAAGCAATTGATCGTAAGCCGAGGACTACATGTACTATGTTTATTTAAAACATCAATAAAAATACTTTAAAAAAAAGAATTATATCTAGAAGGCTACCAAGAACCAGTGCAGCTCTCCCTAATAGTCTTCTAAGGCAGTGGTCTCCAACCTTAGCAACTTTAAGACTTGTGGACTTCGGATCCACCACAAATCCGCGAAGCCCTTATCCGCGGAGACATAAGCGCGAAGACTAATTCCCGCCGTCCGAAGCGCTAAGAAAAAACGCGACCCTACCGCGATGACATAATCGCGGAGGGCCAATCCGTGCATTCCCAAGCACTCAGTTCCCTAACCCTAACCCTAACCCTAACCCTAACCCTAAC